TTGAAGGGCGATGTTTCAAGTACACATAGTTTGCTGGCAATTCCAGTGGGTCTCAAACAAAAGCGTAATGTTAATATTGTTGTTCAAAAGGTACAACCATTGATTAACATCTAGGCCTAGGCCCTGTTTTATTTGTTACCCATGACATAACATAAAAAAAGACGTGAATGCCCTCCTCATCCTCATCATTGAAAATAGCCCTAGAAAGCTTTTCCAGTTATGTTTTGTCCCGTGTAACCCTTAATGCTCTATATTTTTCGTATGTTTTTTGATTTGTGAATTAACATTACTTTTTTTTTTCAGTTTCTTACAACAAATTTTACATTTATGTTATTCCATTATGATGGAAAAGTGGATGGGTGGCGTGATCTTGAGTGGAATGACAAGGTCATACATATTGTAGCCCACAACCAAACAAAATGGTGAGCTCATATCTGTTTGTTAAGGTTAAGGACATGATATAACAGAAAAAAGTTGCAATCTTTTGTAATATTATTTACTACTTTCATCCTTCTGCGCAAAAGACATAAATGCCCATCCTCCTGACTAAAAACAACACTAGAAAGATATGAAAGAGAATTCGTAATAGTATTATTATTTAGTGAGTTACAAGCAAATGTCATTATGAGAGAAAATCCGTGATAGTATTTAGAAATGACAACTGAAAATCATTGCCTACAATATCAAGAGATTAATAAGAAAAAATGAAAGTAGGATGCTCTAATAAATAAATAAATAAATTGTTAGAGCCCCCTTCAATAAGAGGTCCAGCTATTTTGCATTCCTCGGAACAAATTATCAAGCTAGTGTATTTTTTGAATCCAAGAAGGAGTTCGATATCCGTCTAAAAAAAAATAGAAGAGAGCCATACCTCTATCTCCAACAGACATTCATTATGGCAAGGCGTACTGATTCGATCACTTCCTGTAAAGACATTTTCAAGATAGGATTTTTGGTTGTAAATCAATGTGAGTAGCCCTAAATTGGTTGTCTTAATATATTAGTTGTTTTATACCGAATGTAAATTAGTTGTCTTATTTTAATTTTTGATTTTGTAAATAAACATGTCCACATTAGACGTTTAAAGAATTAAATAATTAAATGCTATTAAAGTTTCTTTTTGTTTCCAACTATACAACGCCAAATTCGCTACATGTTTTAATAGAATATTTATTCTATCTTATAAATAGATATTTTATACATTTAAATATTAAATAGTTAAATACGTATAAGATATCTATTTATAAGATACAATTAGGTATATCATAACCAATTCAAACAATTTTATGTAATAATAAAAACAAATAAATATGCAAATTTGTTAAAGAAAATCTTTTCAACACTAAAACAATATATACTTTTTTCAATTAACTGAAAATACAAGATATTACACTTTGTTGCCCGGCTTCCATATCATAGTATTGAAAACACATATCATATTATTCGAAATCATCTCGATGCTAGAAGAGTTAACATTTTTAACGGAATAAACATAAAAATGATAAATACTAAATTTGATTTTTATATAAAATAGAAATTCAACATAGACAAGATTACACGATTGGTCTGTTGACTACAATTACAGCTACTTGTATTCAAATTTTGACCGCATTTGAGACACAAACCTTTACACATCGGATCACATATGGCATTGATCTTTATTTCCAGATGCACCATGTCTCTTACATTCTTTGACATGTCTATCACTTTCTCTTCAGGAGGGAAATACAACCAGTCATCTAAGTCAACAGATGCTAAATCATCATCTTCTTCTTCTTCAGTTCCATTGACCTTACTTTGACCATAAATTACTCCCATGTTTATTGTTTCAGGCTCTTCTATTGGCTCTTCACTTAGTACAATTGAGAAATTAGAGAACACACAATCAGCAGCAGATCCACCATTACTTCAATCAAAGTTTGAACAAACAATTACAAATTATGTCTCTGTACTTTGAAAAGTATTTAAATTATGTCCCTATACCTGTTGCATCCAAGAGTTATGACTGTTCGTATGATCCCATCAAGCTTTAAGTTGTGCTTCTTTCTGGTAACATCCATGGATATCAAGACAGGTGTTCTATGTGGATAATCCTTCACTGACTTTGTGACACGTGATCCCATTAAAGAAGCTCGAGATCTTGAAACATTAGTAGAAAGATGTCCTAATCCTAATCTTTCTAAGGTTGTGCAATACTCAATGTGGTAGATTGAAGGGTTCATTTGGTACAAAATTGCCCCTTCCCAAGGTCAATCCATGGAGTCATCTCCTTCTCCTTGATCTATCCAATCATCTTCCATACTGTTTTCATCACTAAAGAGTTGATAACTGGAGTTCATGGAGGATTCTCTTGCTATGAGTTTCATGGGTATGTGGTTATTAGGAAATAAGCATTTTCGAAGAATGTTGCAGTGGATAGAAAAATGGTTTCAGGCTCCTTGATGACTTCCCTTCAACTACAAGCCAACATACATAACTGATGTACATAATTTCAAAATCTAACTATATTTTAGCAAAAATAGATTGAAATGTAGTCATAGATAGGGGTGAGCGCGGTGCGGTTCGGTGCGGTTATTAGTCAAAACCTCACCACTAACCACAAATGCGGTTAATCCATTTTCAAAACCGCTTGGTGCGGTTATTTTTGCGGTGCGGTTAGGCGGTTATTTTTGCGGTGCGGTTTTGTTTTTTTCTGTGCTGCGGTTATTAACCGCATGGATTTGGTGTGGTTATTTTGTGTGGTTTTAACCACAGTTTGGAGCTCAAACGACTTTAAGAGTTCAGACATATTACTTGTAATAATAAAAAAAACCATAAGGTATAAGACAATTAACTTATATCACAAGCAACTAATATCTTAAAAACGTCAAATCAATAGTAATTAACAATGAATATATTAAAATTGTCTAATTTCACCATTTTTCAAAGTTAAACATCACAAAAAACCAACACTTTTGTCTTCTAGTATTTTATCAATCGTTCATCCATGAAACTTGTCTTATTTTTAATATTTAATATATTAATAATTAATAAAAAAAATTGTATATACTATATGCGGTGCGGTGCGGTTTTTTTGCGGTTTTTTGAAAACTAATAACCGCACCGCACCGCAAATTTGCGGTTTTTGAAAAACAAAAAACCTCACCATCGGTTTTTATTACGGTTGCGGTTAATCGGTTGCGGTTTATGCGGTTAATTTTAGTTGCGGTGCAGTTTTTGTTCACCCCTAGTCATAGATATCGATGTTGAATATAGAAACTTGCCATTGTCTGTAACCAATCCAATTCGTGTATGTTTGTATCTCTCCAATTCAATAAAGATCATAACCAAATATAAAAACCTAAAATAGAGAACTTTTCTCCTTAAATAAATGTCAAAATAGAGATCATAACCAAATATAAAAACTTACAAAATTAGGGAGAATTTTTTTTTATAAAAATTGCAAAGAAATCTAACAATATAAAATGTCAAATTATTAGCTAATAATCCACAAGGTTTTTACTTGGACACATGAAAAAATGAGACATGTTAGTTGGTACCAATGCTATTTTAAAAAGTTAAGTTTGAATCTATTTTTTCCAAATTTCAAATTTGCATTCATAAATCTGATAACCGTGATATCCCAAAAATTGCATATTTAGCTATGTTGTTATTAATGGTTTAAAGGTAAAAAGACATTGCTATTTCATACCAGTATGCCATAATTCATAATATATATTTTTTCTTTTTTTATTATGTAAATTCAGTATAAAACATTCATAAATGTTTTGTTCTTTTATAATAGTAAAAATACGACAAAATAAAAATATATATACCAACATTCCCAAATTGCCCATGCATTGTACATTTATTTTTACTACACATTTTATAACAACAAATTTGTATTTTTTTTGCTTTGTACCTTTAATCATAAACCCATACATGCATAAAGTTTGATATATATATATATATATATAGATATTATATATATATATATATATATATAGATATATATATATATATATATATATATATATATATTATAAAAGTCTCGTTTAAGCATTATACTTAATAAACATTTAACTTCAAACAATCATTATTTTGTCCACAAACAGATAAATGGCTCAAACCACAATTGCTAATTGTAGCAACCCTTCGTCATTGATCATCTACTCTGAAAATGAAGATTTCCTTCATAATTTTGATTTCCATTGGATTGCTGATCTCCAACAAGTACATCAGGTTTATATACATCACTTTCATTTACAATATCTAAATTATGTAAAATTGGTTTTGTATTATTTATATCTTAATCCTTGATTATTATTATTTTATACTAAAATTTAAACTTCCATTAACATTTTTTAGGAAAAAACTTTAATTGTTGTCGGTACGATTAAGTAAGTATGTGCTGAAGGGGAATGGTATTATTTTACTTGTACTAGATGTCAACAGAAAGTCGTAAAACAAATTTTAATCCATGATGATCAGTTTCAAGATAAAGAAGTTTTTTATTCTAACACTTCAAGCTGCATGAACAAAGTCATTTTTGTTGTTCCCAGGTTTTGAAACTTATTTTTATAAATATTATTATATTGTTCTATTAAATTATATAAATTTATATTACTAAATCTGTTTACATCAATGTTTTCAGTTTGAAAATCACCATTATAGTTGAAGATATTACCGGTTCGGTGTCACTTATTTTATATGATTCTGACGCAAAGAAGCTTATAAAAAAACGCACAAGAGTTGGTTATAAGTTTTATGAGGTTATACATATTAACTTCATTTACATAAAACAAATTTATTATTTCGTATATCTATTTTTATAAACGTTCTTTTTTTAGGATGGTAATAACGAAATTTATCCATCTGCTCTGAATATACTATTGGAGAAAAAGATGGCGTTCAAAATTTAAATTTCACATGACAATTTGAAGAACAAAACAGAAGGTTATGCTATCTCAAGGATCACGTCTAACAATACGATCATTGAAGAATTGAAAAAAATATTGAAAATGGATCGGGTAAAATTCTTTACCGTCAATACTACAAACATTATACTTATTATCATTTCAATTTGTATGGCGTAAAAGATTAAATTTTAAGTTTTTCTAATATTATTATCTTATTATTTCTTTCTTTTGCAGTTATCGTTATTGACTTCTGAACTAATTATTGAAATTATTTCACGAACATCATTACAAACATTTGCTACTATACGTTGTACAAATAAATATTATGGAAATCTAACACACAACAACCATGTTCTTCATAACTACAACCGTAGAAATAATGTCGTTTGTGGAATTATCGTTCAACAAAAAAAAACATGGAGAAATATAGAGCGTCAGTTTGTTCCGTCTTCTGCTAACAACAATCTTGACATTGATTGGCTACCACATACTTGTACTATTTTAGCATCATCCTTGTGCGGACTCCTTCTTGTTGAATCCTATGATCCAAATGAATACGTTTCAAAGATTTTATTTGTTATCAAACCAACGACTACAGATTTCAAATGGATACCGTTTCCGACCTCTGAATACACTGTGGTAAAGTTTGCTTTGGTAGTTATCAGTTCGAACCCGTTACATTTCAAGGTCATTCGATTGTCATATACAAAGCCATCGTAAGAGTTTATATGTAGTATATTTTATGTTATTAATTTACTTTATTATTTACTTATATGTTATTTTATTTGTAGTGATATGCTTAAGGAAAAAGTGGACTACGATTACTACAAGATAGAATTGTTTTCATCTACTACATGGCAATGGAGGGAGTTTCAAAATATCCAGTTACCATCATCTGTTTTTCCTGTTTCTGATGAGGCAGTTACAAGTGGCGGTGTCGTTTACTTCTTATTATCTAATGATACCATATTGCGATTTGATATTTATTCAGAAGAACATATACTCATATTTGCACCTTCTATTATTAATGACTTCAAACCGTATGCATCGAGACTGATCAAGTTTCACGGAAAATTGGGATATTTCTCTGTAAGTGGAGATCGTTTGTGGACTATTTGGGTTTTCATTCACAATCGGTAGGTTAAAGTAGATGTTAGTAACTACAATGAAGGTCCACATGAATGGTGGGATTATAGAAACAATACCTTATATTTCTTTAACGAAAATACGATTGAGTATGTGGTTCCGGCACATCCTTCTCAACAAGTTTTTTCAATCCGTTCTGATTTTGATAGAGTGACTATGCCAATTAGATATTAGTGATTATATATATTTTAATTTGCATTCGAACATAGTTGCTTTTTGTAATGAACTATTTAAATATTTTATATTACTTTGTGATTTATTAGTTTTTTTTTATTTATTCTTTTAATTGTTATGAGGTTAAAATAGCTATTGTAATGTATGTTAATGAATTTAAATTAGCTATGGTAATGTACTTTTAATTGTCATGCTTCCTATGATGTAATATATGTTTATAATTCTATGTTTTTTTATACGCTCCCGCGTTTAACGCGGGTCATAATCTAATTAATAAACAAAAAAAAAAAACTATAAAAGTTAAAGGCAGATTTTAATACTTTAATAGGAAGTAAAGGGTATTAAATGAAAAATCTACTATAATAAATAAAAATCATATTGCCACTTGTCATTCTCTCATTCAATTGGCCACATGTCATAATTTTGAGATATATTTATTTTCCACTTGTCATTTACTTCATTATTCATTTCCAATATATCATTAATTTAGTTTCTATAAATTAAACCTACCATAATGACTATTAATTTGAAATTTCAATTTCAAATAAATTTACACTTCAAACCTTTGTATTTAACATTTTGTTATAATAACTCGTTTAGTACACGGGTCTGACAATTAAACACATAATTTTAATTAACTTATTTTTTGCATGTTTTTTTTCTCATAATTTTCACTTATTTCATATTTCAAATTCAAATAAACTTCTCATTTAATCGCTCCTATTTAACATTATGTTTTAATCAACCCATATGATATACGGGTCTCACAACTAATGATAAAATATATTAAAATCAGAGTTGAACGTTAATGACTTTTGTTGTCAAATGTATATAGGATTTTAATCGTGTATTTAGAATAACTCGTCAAGAATCGCATCTTCAAAGTATTAACATTCAAATCATTGTCAATTGTTTATTAAAAAAGTACGGTCTGAATAGATTAAACGCATTAACGCATTATTAGTTGAATAATTTCAAAGAAACATATCTTAATAAATAATCATTGTATCAATACGTATATATAAGTAATATCATACTATCTCTATATAAGGCTGAACGCATAAATGCAAAACCAAATCGGACAAAAGATCGATTTGTCGTATCATTGACGTTGCAATATATATATTTATGTTCTAGAATGTATTATGATAATTGCTATATCTTTAATCTGATCTTTTTTTATTAAATTATAAATATCTATTTGGTTATTTGCTTTAGAGGTGTATATGATTCAATTTTATTTAGCTTTTATTAAAAACTAATGATATTAATACTAGGAATCGTGTAGCGTATGACTAGGCAAACGAGAATATTTGAGACACGGGATGAAATTAAAGATAGACCGGTTACAGATACAAAATGTTTTCTAGCCTAGCGTTATTTGGTATTACCCTCCCTCCTTGAGGTCGAAGGTTCAAGTCCTGAGAAACAGGTAACCAATTACATAGAATTTATAGCGAGAATTAATTTGGTCTACAAGCCAACTAACACAATTAATTTTGCATTTGCTACTCCTATTATAAATCTAAAAAAAAGGCTGAGAAACTATAGAGTCGTAAATAGTCGCCTATTTTGGTTTCACCGTTCCAAAAGTGGAGTCATTACAAAATCTCCAAATCGCCCAAAACACCGTGAGACAAACCGCATGAAGACATTTTCTTGCTTTGGAAGATATCATCCATTGATCTTCTCATGCACACCATTCACTATAATTAATAATTTGAGGCACATCGATCCACCACCATCTTGCAATACGTATCCAAACGTCGTATGTTAAGTTACACATGGAAAAAGTATGGATTTTTGTCTTCCTTATTATGGTCACAAATGTTACCTAAAAGAGAATCAATATCATACCCTTTTTTTATCAAGGTTATGTTTGATTGAAATTTTGTTCAACATATTCTTCCAAGACAAAACATTAACCTTGATGGACATGAAGTTCTTCCTTCTAAACTTCTTCTGACCTAAGGGAAGCATGTTGTCATAATTCCAATGTCTAGCAGAGCTTACCGAATACTAACAACTATGGTCTACCTCCCAACACCTCATGTCTGAATTCTGCGATAAAGTAATATCATGTAATTAAAAGATTATAAATATCGATCTAGTGGTTAAGCTCGAGACTCCTCTCGATTGTCAACGAAGACAAGTAAGACAAATATCTATTAGAAGCCAATCTTCAACAAGCACATGCTTATTATTATCTAAACAGGCCAATCTCAGGAAACGAAACTGCAAAGTACTTTCTCTAAGCCAAACATTGGTCCAAAATCGAGTGAGAGTCCCATCACCCACTTTGCTTAAGCAAAAACTGTGAAGATCCATATTATTCTCATTAAGTTGTTTAGCGGATCTCAAGATATCCATACACAAAGCCCCCAGATGACCCGTTGGAATATAACCATTCCAATGCTCATCTTGGTCATCAATATTTTTAACTACTTGAACCCACAACATATATGATTCTTACAAAAAAAACATCACTTCCATTTAAACAAAATCGCTATATTTAAGGCATAAATGCTTCTGACTCCCAATCCTCCATTATCTTTACTTTCCGTGACTTGTTTCCACTTAACCAAGTAAGCTCCCTTTCTCTTACCTCCACCCCCACATAGAAATTGTTGCTCAAAGATATTCGAGAGTATCAACAATATCCTAAGGATCGTGAAACAAAGTTATAAAGTAAGTCGCAGTGCTTCCAAGAATATACTTTATAATTGTGAGACGACCGCTGATCGAAAGAAGCTTAACTTTTCAATTGGTAAGTCTAGCTAAAAATTTATCAACCTTTGGTTTCCAACTTTCAGTTATAGACATATTCAACCCAACATGATGCCCATGATAAGTAAAAGGAAGACGTAAGGCCTTAAACCTAATATATTCACCATATGCTCAACCTAATTGAGCTCTATACCAATGTCAATCAACTTAGGTTGATTTTAAGCCCTCAAGTTAAGACAAAACATCGCAAAAGACAAATAATATTTTTTCGAATTCTGGATGGACAACTCTCCCATAAAAATGGCATCATCTGTAAAGAAAAGTGAGATAATCTCATGTCTTCTAACCCAAAAACCGCACCTTTAAACACATATTTTTTAGTAGCTTCTTTGACCATCACATGCAAACCTTCCGCAACAAGAATAAAAAAAATTGGAGATAGAGGGTCACATTGTCTAAGACATATGAAACTCTTCGGTAGGAGCTCCATTAACCAACACCGAAGCCATAAAAGAGTAAATATAACCATGGATTCATCCACACCATTTCTCACCAAAACCCATTTTTTTACCCATCATCCCAATAATCCCTACATAAAAAGCCATAAGCTATTTTGTATTAAACTTTAAACACCAAAAGTTGTTTATGATGTTTTTTTTTGCGCCAAGCAATGAGCTCATTCAACATCAAATGTGATACAACATCAACTACTGAACATCAAAAATTTGACGACCTTTTATAAAAGCCAATTGTTTGAAACTAACAATGTGACTAATTTCTTCATGTAATCTATAAGTTAACCATTTGCCAATGATTTTGTATTTGCAAACTATTAGGCTAATGGGTCTACAATCTTTTATTTCCTCCGGCTCTTAAACTTTCAGGAGGAGAGCAATAAAAGATGAGTTGAAACCTCGCGGGAACACACTCAGATTATAAAATTAGGAAATCATTCCCAATCAACCCCCAAAACTTTTTAATGGACTCAAATAAAAATCCATATTAACAATATGATTTGTCTTTCCTACAATCCCAACAATCAACCCCAAAACTCTTTAATGGACTCAATTAAAAATCCATATTGACAATATGATTTATCTTTCTTACAATCCCAAACTGCTTGCTTTATTTCTTCATTTGGAAATGACTCTTCCATTTCACCATTTACTCATGTGATAAACCTTGACTTTGATATATAATTTAATTAAGAAATGTATTTGTATTATTAAAAAAAACTAATGAATATTTAAAATTATAATATGTTAACTGATTATAGTTAATTCGCTATCCTCGTGTTGCTTTGTATGGTTCATTGTAGGCAATTATACTTTAATGATTTGACATTTGTGAAAATAAGAAAGTTGGCAGCATTATGTATTTTTTTGAATAAAAGAAATTTTACTACTATTAGCAAGATAATAGAAAGAAGAGAATATTGAACTAATACAAGTAATAGGTTGTGAAGCCAACGAACTAAATTATTTTTCAACTTAGTGCTCATAGGGCTGTAAATGAATAAAAAAAAAAAACTAACGAATATTTTTGTTCTTGTTCTTAAGATGTTAAACGAATATAAACAAATTCTTCATATGACAACCCATTTGTATGTTTTGGGGTACCGTTGATCATAGATTTTAATCACATTCTTTGGAATGTTTGGGGTACAGTTGATCATAGATTTCAAGCACATTCTTTTCTGATGTTTGGAGGTACCATTGATCACAAATTATAGGTTGATGTCTTCTCTAATATATGTCTTAATGCTATTTAGATGCCGACTGAGGATGATCCTCATCCTGACACTCAACATATGGATAATGCTTGATTATGGGTAGTAATTTGCTATAATGGTCCTCAAAAGGAGAATGTGGCATCCCTTAATCCAATATGAGAGTAATATTATGGGGTCGTCAATACGGTATCAAAACTTGTTGGCTTTGCAACCTTCTATTAAAATTACATTCTTCGCCTTCCAAAGCAATGATCGTGTATTGCGATAATGTCACTGCATTGCGACAATGTCAATGTCGCAATATCTTCACCAAAGAGGTTATCTTCATCTTTATTTCATGAATTACCGTCTTAAATTAAATGTTCATACTATTCCTTGCAATAAAAATAATGAGAAATGTTAGGGATGTTAATGGAAGAGATCAAGTCACATCGAATATATAAACTATACGTAGCTAGAGGGACAAGTGGTTGGTTTAAATCTTGGTATGTGACACATGTTGGGTACAATTATGTTAAAAAGCTATCTAATAAGTAATAACTTATGCCTCACTTTCGACCTACGTGTTCCTAAAATGAATGTGACTTTAGGATTGATTCAATTATTTGGTTCAATTGTACATTTGTATTGACATCAACCAAAGTTGGTAAAAGGACCATTACAAGTTACAACCAAACTTTGAAAATCATTTATCATTTAATAATTCGAAAATCAGATAATTATTAATAGTTTTATGTATATCTTACAAATCTCTCAACTTCTTAACTAAATATCCAAATATAAATTTAATTTAATGTGCTTATTAAAGAAAATATTTTACACTTAATGCTAATCACATTAGAGTTAAAAACCAGTTAATAAAGCGTTACAATCTACCAAAAAAAGCATTTTATATTTTATAATATATACACAAACTGTTAGTTCTTATCGTCAACGCAAAAACCCACCGGCTATCGGCAATCGGCGTCACCATCGATCCTTTTTTCTTATACTTTACGCTTCCTCATTCCGCTGGTAAACTACTATACCTAAACAGTCGTCCTCACGTCACCTCCTTTGGTTTTATCTATATATAACTGCGACGATTCTACTCAGATCGATATTGACCACAACAATGGCTTCCGAAGAACAAGTGAAGAATTCCGCATTCGATACAGAGGCTGCTAACTGTTTAGTCAAGGAGTTGAGAGGCACTGTTGTCGCTGGAAAAACGAAGAGCTACGAATGGAGAGTGAAACAGTTGAAGAGCTTGTTGAAGATGGTGGAAGAGCGCGATAAGCAGATTTGCGATGCTTTATTCTCTGACCTCTCGAAGCCTGAGATGGAAGCTTTCATCCATGAGGTCAATTTTTTTTTAGGTTTTGATTTTATTGATGCTCTACCTGCCTACATATAGGTTTCGATTTCAGTATATTGATTACGTACGGAATTCTTTGGTTGATTGGGAGTGTAATTGATTAGATCTGGTTGTGTAATAAATTCATACATGACATGTGCGTGTGTCTGTGTTCCAGCTAGTATGTACACTCACTTTCTCCTGCAAAAAAGTTCATTCGATTTTCGAGGTTCAAACTACAATTAAATGCAATCCAAAACCAAATTGACCTAAAAACTTTTTGAATTCAATCTTATTTGAGTAGTAGTTTACTAGTTGATTTTACTTGTACAAAAATGGTTTTAACAACTCATTTGTGAGTCAAAATTCAATATGAACTCTTTTATCATGAGTATATTACAGACACACTGATGCTCTGTTTTTCCTCCAGGAATTAATTGCTCAATTCTTTTAGTTGGTGAATACATTAAATGCTGAATTTTGAAGTTCCCTATATTGATGAATTCTTTTGTGTTTTTTTAAAGTAGATATGTCCTTTTTTTGTACTAATTGATTTTGTTATCCATGGTGTAGCAGCTTACTGAGGCTACTATTTGTACAGAACCAAAAGACGCTCATATTTTGCAGATGTGCTATCTCTAACCATCTAATCATTTCTGTATTATTTATGAATAAAAAAATCAGATTTTTTAAATTTGATGGTTTGTTGAAAATATGATTCAGCCTTTGAATTTAACATCTTCTAGAAATCAAAAGGAAATTATTGTTTTGCAACTACTCTTGAACGATTCTTAAACCATAGGCAGGACATCATTTAAGATATGGAGGCCACCTAATATAGTTGTAACAATAATATTAACAGTTGCATTGTTGATTATTTTCAGTCTCAAACCTGTGATGATGGTTATATTCTAATTATTTTATGCAATGTTTCACCTTTTTACCAATATATGAAACAACGTTTCACCTTTTTTTTCTTTTTATCAACTTATGCAACAAAGTTTCATAACACAATTCAATATGAAACTTGCATAGTTGAATATATTGTGGTTGTTATAATATTGGTGTGGTAAAGCTTCTACATATTAATATTATAATTTAAGATATTCTATCCTTTACTGAAATAGATCATTCTATTGCTTTATAATGCAGATTGCTCTGATAAAAAATTCATGCAAGCTGTCACTGAAGAAACTTAAAGAGTGGATGAAACCAGAAAAAGTAACTGTTTTTGGATTTTAAATGGCATAAAACTTTTCATGTACTTTTAAAAGGGAAGTTTATATAATGTATATATCTTGATAATTCTTTGCAGGTGAAAACTACTTTAAGCACTTTTCCTTCATCAGCAGAAATAGTCCCAGAACCTTTGGGGGTTGTTTTGGTCATTTCAGCATGGAACTATCCTTTCTGTATGTTCTTGACTTGGTTTTCTTCCGTATCTGTCACATTTGTTTCATGTCTTTTACACACACCGGACATGATTGGATAAGTTTTCTAGGGGTGTTTTCAATGATGAGGATGAGGGCATTTACGTCTTTTGTTTGCAGTGTTATCTGTTGATCCAGTGATAGGAGCAATTGCAGCTGGGAATGCTGTTGTTCTGAAGCCCTCAGAAATTGCTCCAGCCATGTCTTCATTGCTGAAAACCTTCTAGAAGAATATCTGGATAATTCGGCTATAAAAGTTGTTGAAGGTGGTGTTCCTGAAACATCTGCACTTCTGGAACAAAAATGGGATAAAATCTTCTATACAGGTCTTTCTATGAGTCTTCCCTTTTAACAGTCTGAATAAATAGTAAATGACCATTTTACCCTTTTGAATCTTTTCAGGGAATGGGAGAATTGGGCGAGTTGTCATGGCTGCTGCTGCAAAACATCTGACACCTGTAGTCTTGGAACTTGGAGGCAAATCTCCTGTTGTGGTTGACTCAAACATTGACTTAACTGTAGGGAACTTTCTTATTTACACTTAAGTCCCCCCATACCTTCTGGGCTTTTTTTTTTGTGGTTAAGTTAAATATCCATTTTTTTTTCTTTTAAATGGGTTGTGCTATAAGTACCCCCTTAACCAATTTTACCCCCCCTAACATCAATCAAATCAACTTTTTACTTTTGATTTGACATTTTTTTTTTCCTTTTTGTTTTTGATTTTTTTTCTTTTTATTTTATATTTTAATATTATTACTATTAAATTCGGATGACATTTTAAAATTCGGTAAACATTATAAATTCGCACGACATTATAAAATTCGAACGACTTTTTTTGTCCGTAATTAAAAAATATAAAAAAAATATTTAAAAACCAATTTTATATAGCCGTTTGAATTTATAATGTCTTCCGAATGTTAAAATTTTGTGCGAAATTTATGATAATAATAATAATAATAATAATAATAATAATAATAATAATTAAAAAAGAATTAAAAACAACAAAAAAACAAAATAGGAAAAAAACAAAAAAAAACAACAAAAGACAAAAAATCAAATCAAGGAGGGTGGAATTGGAAAAGAAAGGGGGTACTTATAGAAAACCCCTACTTTTTATAGGTGACAGCAAGGCGTATAATTGGAGGTAAATGGGCATGCAACAATGGACAAGCTTGTGTTGCTCCTGATTACATAATAACAACAAAACAATTTGCTCCCAAGTTGGTACGTATGTTTCTTTAACAACCCTAAATCATTTACAAGGTGGGACCAGGACTCCCTCTCGATACCTCGTTTGTGTAAAAGACGGAAATGCCCTCCTTATCTTCATCATCGAAAATAGCCTTAAAACGCTTGTCTAGTCACGTCCAATCATGTCCCGTGTTACACGGGACAAGACTTGAACAGACATGATTAGACAAGCTTTTTAAGGTTATTTTCGGTGATGAAGATACGGAGGGCATTTTCGTCTTTTACATAGACGAGGTATCGAGAGGGAGTCCCAGTCCCCCACCTTTTTGGGTGCTCCGTTGATATCAGTCTCAGTCTAGTCCCAATCCAATGCATGTCAAACACAGTACAATCTGTCAGACTGACATAACAAACAACGCATTAAAAGCATATTTTAATCATGTGTACAGATAGACTCTATAAAACATGAGTTGGTGAAATTTTATGGGGAGGATCCTCTGAATTCCCCGGATATATCTCGAGTTGTGAACTCCAATCACTTTGCTCGGTTGTCAAAGCTATTGGATGATGATAGGGTTTCTGGAAAGATAGTTCATGGAGGTCAAACAGACAAGAGTAGCCTGTGAGTTTTATTTCATGTTTTCGATACTTTATTTTGTTAAAAATTACTTAATTACCTGATTAAGTCATGATGTTTTTTGTCTGTCGTTTTAGGAAAATTGCTCCAACTATTGTTCTGGATGCGGAGGAAGATTCCCTCATTATGCATGAAGAGATATTCGGTCCTTTACTTCTTGTAGTAACGGTAAAAAAAAATAATTACCAGCCACAGTAAATTCTCACCCGGTTAAAATTTTCGAATAAATTTACTTTCTTACCCTCTGGTAGGTTGAAAAAATTGAAGATGGCATTGACTTTATCAACTCAAGGTCAAAGCCTCTTGCAGCATACATATTTACCAACAACAAGCAACTCAAACAGGATTTTGTCAGCAACATCTCTTCTGGAGCCATAGTCGTTAATGACATTTCCTTACACGTACCACACTACTAGTCATCTTTTACCATTACTTTATGCAAATGACAAAAATGTCCTCATTTTGGGTTTTGTTATTATGCAGCTTATGGTGGACACATTGCCATTTGGTGGAGTGGGGGAAAGTGGCACAGGGGCATACCATGGCAAATTCTCATTTGATGCTTTTACCCATAAAAAAGCAGTTTTACATAGAAGTTTTTTGGGAGATGCTCCAGCAAGATACCCACCATACACAGCTGGCAAGCTTAGGCTTCTGAAAGCTCTTTTAGATGGCAGTATATTTGGCATCATTCGCGCTCTTTTCGGCTTTTCGTAAATGTAAATCCGTAATTTTCACAACCCGTTTGCTTTCATTTCTGTTAAAAAGTTAAAATGTTTCCGTTATCTTTACATTTGTACAACATCGTTACAAACAAAAACATGTGAATTCATCTGTATGATACAAGTTGCACATCTTTAAGCAGAAAGCAGATACAAACAATAAAGCTTACAGGTTTGAAACTGAAACCAGATCGACAAAAAAGACTAATGAGAATGAAAAGGAAATGAACTTAAATCTAAATAGGATTAGCATGAATCTTGTAAGATATTAAAACACTCGGATCGTTGTTCTTCGGTCAAATTCTGTGGAAACTGAACCGAAAACTTGATGTTCAAGTTTCCTCTCTTTCCTTGTTCTTTAAGCAAACACATGCCTTCTCCTTCGATTGTTTTCGTGTAACCCGGGTTAATGACATGATCATCGATGGTCAAACGTGATTCTTGACCACCTAAAAAAGGTATGGTAACTGTACAACCGGTCAATGCATCTACTAAAGGAAGCTCGATGGCTACTTCTAAATCGTCTCCATTTCTTTTAAAAACGGGATGTCGTTTCTCGTCAATCACAAATGTTACATCCGCAATGCAAGTCGGTGAATTTTGGTTTCCCTTTCCCTCCAATGTGATCTTTGTTCCTTTCTTCCATCCCGGTTTTACGTTTATCGTTAGCACTTCATCTTCTTGTATTACTTGCCTAAACAAGATAATGTGACATAAACACTACATCAGTCTCGATATGCCAAATGCAGTACTACCTGTTAGGCTGTGTCATGTATTACTAATCTTGATATAAATACATGCATACCCGTCGTCTGTAACTACGTCTCGTTTGATGTAGACCTTCTTGATGCAACCAAAACACAAGTCTTCGAGGGTGCACTCGAGTCGCTTCACAGTATCGGGAGGCTTTCGAAGCCCGTTAACATCGGAATACAAGATTGTTGAATTGTTCCTTGCCGGGTTGACATTGAACAAGGAGGCTTTAGGTAAAAAACCAGTGCTTGCGGTTCTTGAAAGTCTTGGAACTGAGACTCTAGGTGAGATAAGACTTTCGGTTTCATGAACATCCCTCTCCAAGTCAACCTAAAATGTATTTAACCATATGTAAAATCGTTAATACCATAAATTGGCGAATCTAACAACGTACTTTTATACTTTACTCTTTATCAACATAGACAATATAATTTAGAGCTCTTTCAAAAAAAAAAAAGACAATATAATTTAGAGAAAAGGTATATTTAACCCCATCCACCTTTCACCAACCGTTCGCATTGCCAACATGCTTAGAAATGGTAAATAAAAATAATCCAATGTAAACAAAATGTTAAACCCTAATGTAGTTTTTCTTTTATCCATAATAGCAATACACTTACGATTCCTAACCCACAAATCACAACAAGAATGTGCTTACGTTAACTTGTTTAATTTACCAATAGCTAAAATCGCTATTGTTAATAAAGCAATTAAATTATGGGATTCTTATAACCAAATAAAATTGTAATGATTTTTTAAATGTGTATGTGATACAAGTTATGATCATTAATTTGTTGGGAATTGGAAATGGAAATGGAACCTGGAGATGGTGTTTGTCCTTGCTCTTCACACGTGATTTTTTGCCGAGACGATGTTTGCAGATGAATGATTTGCATGCTTTTCGAACGCCTCCCATTCTCACACACGTCGATCCCATGCATGCAGCATCAGGAATATGATACAATAATTTGTACTTTGACGAGAGCTATATATACCAACTATACCTCAACAATTAATCAATTATGTTGCAACATATCGATGATTTCATCTCTTGTTCTTTTCTTTTATGTCCTTTCCTTAAATTACGCAATCTCAACGCCATGAAATCTTATTCTGAACACACAAAACAAAACCCACTTCTAAATTAACACCCTCATTTTTTTTGCCATTTTGGAAAAAAGAAAATTTCATTGATGTTTTTTGTTTTGTTTTACTTTATTTCAATTTTGTTCGTAAAAGCGACTTTTCATCGAGTTGTAAAATAGTCACTATGTGGTAGATTCCATAAATAAGTATAAATTATATACTATATATCAGAAGGCTGCGTTGGTGGATGTTTCCGGCGATTTACGCCCTCAACTTTTAGAAATGATATTTTCCACCCCTATACCTTTTAAAACACTTTGTAAAATGATATTTTCTACAATCAATTTTTTAAATTGTCACTTTCATCCCTTCAACTTTTTACTTTGTAAAATATCACTTTCATCCCCTCCATTTTCTAAATTTTTGTGTTTATCCTATCTAATTAATTCAAATGGCGTCAAAGACAGACCAGGAGCAGCTCTAAATAACAGATCATGATGGAATGGACTAAACCACAAATTATTTTTTATTATTTTTTTTTTATTTTGGACATTCAAGTTAACCTTTTGGATTTTATCCATAATCTTTTGAATACCACAAGAACCAATTTTGCAGATTTATCTAAATAGTTTGTTGCAAGTTGAATATTTGATAATTAGATTCTATCATGACAAGTCTACCCGATAACAAAACATCTATAAATACGGCACATCGTTTTCCTTCTAAGAGTCATCTTATTCAATACCAAAATCTCTTCACACATCGTAGGTTCAACTTCAATGGAATCCTTGTTGTCGAGTTACGATACTCTCAAGGATTTTCGTCAAATCTCTCCCGAAGTTCAGACTGCTCTAAAACAGGTTTGTAAATTGTAAACTGTATATTCTGTGGAATCTGGCTCATATGGCTTAGTATATAAATCATAAATGTGGTTTTGGATAAAAATTGATCCGTGAAATTTTTATATGATTCTTTTGGTTTAACAATTTCGTCATTCAGATTGCGTTGAGTAATTGAGTCTTTCTGGTTTTGACTACTTGGTTTGCAAAGTGCATGTGGATTGTGGAAGTGTTGGGTTAATCTTGATGGTTCAGGTAGAATACGGGTTACGGGTTTGAATGGGTCAGGTTCTTTATGCACAAGTTTAATAATGAAGACTTAGTCCAAAGAAGGACCTGGTTTGGTGGAGTTTCAATAAACGTTGACTTAGTAGTCCTATCTTTGTGGTTTTAGCTAATAGTTTTCCTTTTTCTTAGCATGATTATTAGTATAAATAGAGTAGGGTTTATCTTCTGGCAGGAGTTGGACTTTGTGTGTATTTTTTCTGTTTTCTATGAATGAGCAATACACAGAAAATTGTGCCATCTTGAGATTGCATGTTCTTTCTTGTACTGTGAATATTAGTGCATGTTTGATCTTGTGTAGAGCATGTTCCAACAGGAAGTATTTCTGCGTTTTGTAATAAATATATATATATATATATATATATATATATATATATATATATATATATATATATCAAATCACATGTCTCCAGTCTTTGGCACTACGTTGTTTTCTAAAGTCACAATGCTGTTCGTTTTGTGGTGCTACAAACTAATGATGATAAAAACAATCAAATAAAATCTTGCTTATACAGGGATTTTTATGTATATAATATATGATAATTAACATATAATTCCTATAATGTGATTGCAGGGATATGCGAAAGTATGTTGCTTCTTAATAGCAGATGCACTCGGGTTTTATCTCCATATCCTATTGGACAATGGATATTTTCTCACCACCTTGGCAACATTTGAATGTATGCTTTGGTTGATCGCCACTCCTCCATGGGAAGAGGTAGTTGTCTAGTTATCTTCTACCTTATATACCCAATGATTTCTTGAAATCTTATTAATCTTAATTATTCCTTATATATTCTTCATGGGATTCTTATTCCAGCACAAAAGGTTAATGACATATTACCTATTTTGCATTCTCTACGGAGCCTCCTCTGTTTCTGTAGTCAAATTATTCAAAGATTTTGACACACGGTTGGTTCTTTTCCTTGTTGTTAATTATTATATATATATATATATATATATATATATATATATATATATATATATATTACTCAACTTACCCCGTTAATGTTTCTTGAAGTATATTTCTATTGGTTTTGCAGCATGTGGGTGAGCGAATACATAGGAGCTGCCATCGCATTTGCTTGTTTCTCAGGCGCTGCCATGGTAGCAAGGCGTAGAGAGTTTCTTTATCTTGGAGCTCTTCTTTCCTCTGGTGTTTCAATCTTCTTCTGGTCACATTTTGCTTCAAAAATCTTTGGTGGTGTCACTGCTTATTTCCAATCTGAGGTAAATACTTAACTCCTGATTCATTCTTTTTTTCATTTTCTCTCTCCATCTTTTTCAACCATTTGTGTTAATTGTATGTGTTTGATTCACATTTGCAGCTTTACTTTGGGTTAATGGTGGTTGTTGGTTGCATGGTTGTTGCAACTCAGGTGCTCATCCCAAAGACTTGGAGTATGTGAAGCATCCCCTCAAACTTTTTTTCTGATTTAGAATGCTGTTTTTGTTCCCTCACATTTTATACTGATTTTATTGCTTTTTTTATCAGTATGTGATGCAGTTGAACAATTCTGATGGAAGGGAACATAGGAAGAAGAAGAGGAGGAGGGGGATTATGGACAAAAACCGCATTCAACTACAAATAAAGCTCGGTGTAATTTATACTTTCGTGTGGTACATGTTTTTTTTTAACATCAGTCGTGCGTGTGTTCTATGTCACTTAGAGACTTAATATGATATCGGGTTTTACAGTGAGTTTTTGTCATAAAAGCTTTTTGGCCTCTTGATCATCTGGTGTGAAAAGGGCTTTTTATATGGGATAATCATAACCTAAAATGAGAGTGTTTTTGTCATCGAACGAGTATTTTTCACAAAATAATTTCATTTCTCAAAAAGGGTTCTATGTAACCATTTTTGAGATAGAGTTTGGTTTTGCAGTTGGTTTGCCAATTTTTTGTATATGGTCAAAACTATATAAACAATGAACATCATGAACATGAACTTCTATGCTTCTCCAGCTAAGCGTCGTCCTTCCCTTTTTCACAAGGGCCTATATATGCCGGTGTCGGATGAAGGACATTATAGTGGGGTGCATGGACCATTTAAAAGTGGGTTCCACTTTCAATTATATGAAAAAAGATTTTTTTGTCAAAATAAAATATAAAAAGGGTTTACATCTTAATAAGATATTAAAATTTTTTGTATACCTGAATAACATAATCATAATTAACTATGTAAATTAATTTGATAAAGAAGAAAATCGTATAAATAGGAGCTACATCGATCTTTGCAAAAATCAATCTTCAAAGTTTTCAAATCATTGTCGTTCAAAAAAAATTCAAATGATTAGTTATCTTAATTGTGCTTGTCTTTGTTTCATAGAATAGAAATCATCTATAATTTTATCTGTGAAAAATAAAAAAAAAGTTACCAGCTATACCGGTTAATCCAAAGTTAAGATAGCTAAATTTGAACACGAATTAAAATAAATGAACCTAATCAGCCATTAAAATAAATGGGTGTGAATGCGGTGGGATTTTAGTTATTAAGTGTGAGACTTAATTTTAGTCATAATTGGCATAGCCTTTACTTCTTATATAATGATTGAATTTAAAAAAAATAGGAGGGGTTGACCAAGGGTGGATCTAGTATATAGCACGGGGTAGCACGAACTACCCCTCAAATTTTCCCTGTCAAATGTAAATTTAGTAAAAGTTTGTCGAAATCCATCACAAATCCGTCGGAAACCCGTCACAAATATGTTGGAAATCCATCACAAAGTCTGATAAATGTGAATTTAGAGTAAATCCATCGGTTTAGTGACGATTTTGTGGCTGAAAATGCATCAAAAATGAGTTTTGTTATAATAGTACAACCATTAAAAAATTTGTGCAGCCCATGTGTTTTCTTTTCTTTCTAGGTCTGCTATGCTATTGTTGAGCACTACTAATAGGTAGCTTTGAATTACTTTTGGGCTTAATATTTTATCTACTTTATGATTAAAGTTTTAAAAGAGATTAGGGAGAGGGAGGGGGGGAGGGGAGCATCCGACAACCCCACCTTTTCGTGTTGTCCATTTAAACCACACTTAAGATTTTTGGCACCCACTTTATGAGTTGTTTGATATGTTTCTTGTTAGGTTTGGTAAAAAGGTGAATCTAACTAGGTTATTACACTTAGAAACTTTTTGGGAATTCTATGTCTCTTACTCAGTTAGATTTAGAGATGTGTGTAGCTCAGTCCATCTCTATTTCTTGTTCAATCCTTAACAATTTGTCATCAAGTGGTGAAACATTTTGTATTCGTTCATGACATCTAAGTAAATTTTCAAGCATATGCATACTTCCAAAAACAAAGGGGTGAGTTTTGTTCTTATAGATGATATAATCCTATCACTACAGAAAAACAGATTCCAAAGCTACTATAGAAGCTTTGATGGTTAGTACATCATAAGCCGTAATAACTAGAGTCAAAATTAGGAATCATTGTCTTTCCACGAAGCCAAAATATCAAAAATCCAAAACTCTTTTATACTTGTATATGCCAAAAAATTGGATCCAATGTACCTTCCAAGCTCGCTACTAGGGGTGCTAGACCGAGCTCATTTGGCATTTTCATTTCTTAAAGTATTATAGAGTTGAATGGCTGAAACCCCCAAATTTTACATGATGTCATAAATGCTTATTGAATCATATTTTGTTAAATAAACTTGAAACAAACTCTGGATAATATGATAGAGTGCGTTGCATAGAAGATAATTTTTTTTTCTTTCTTTCTTTTCTTGTTAGTTGTTAATGAGATGAAGGAAATGAGATTTTTCTTTTATTGAAAAAACTGTCTAAATCTAATCGAATAACCATCTTACCTTGATCTACAAATGACCAATTTAAAAAACAAATACATACAAGCACTATTATATATGCAACACAGAAAACCCGGATTTTGTTTTTGTTTTGCAAAATAAAGGATTATTTTGTGATAATTAGAAAAAGGTGGTGTTCGACATACGAAATACAGTAAACTTCTATCAACAAAATGCAGTCTTTTTATAATCAAGAATCTTGATTTCAATGATACAAAAAAGAATGAATGAGACATCAATCATCAATATGAATTCAGATTTCAGTCTCAACCTCTATGCAGCAATTGAGTGGTTGACTTTCAACCCTCCCACAGTTTGACTTTCTTTTTACACTATGTCATTGCCCCATGGTGTGGTTAATTACAAAAGAAATGTTGCAAGAATTTGAAACACAGATTTAGGTAAGCCATTATTACTTGGAGGTGTAGATGATTCCATGTTTCCACCAAATAAACCTTGCATTTGATCCCCTACTCTTCCCTGATTACATCCATATTCACAAATATTAAAAGTCTTTAACCTTGACAACTTACTTATATATTCTCACATCCTTGTTGCTAGATTATATGCAAGTTCAAGAATGAAGATTGTGTATAATACCTTAGCAGCATCTTTGAGAGGACCCCAACACTCTACTCGATTGTACTTTCTTGAACTTGAGTGAAAAAAGACCCGAACAAATGCATCCATTAACTCTTTATGTTGACTGAATAGAACACGATCCCCATACAACACTGCTTCAAGAACCTACATTTTTGCCAAAAATCTTTTAGGCCCCATTTGTTACACAAGACACAACAGAACATGATGGTCTGTGACCGATGTCAATGGGACAAAAATTGTACTTTTTGTCCCATCCAAAAAGGTGTGACACAGACTTGTTTCCTCTGTGCAAAAGATGTGAATGTCCTCACCATTAAAAATAGCCCTAGAAAGCTACACATCCTTAGTTAACGCTAATGTCTACATAATCATTAGATTAAGATGACAAAATTTGATTTACCAATGGCAATTCCTTTGCGAAAATGTAGTATCTGAACTCTGCAACAAGGTCTAGCAAGGAATTCGGTCCACTAACATAGCAATGAACATCAAGACACATATGACCTTTCACTTCAGCCCACCGAGCTACTACATCGTCCTTATTATACCACCCTCTCAGCTGACATCAAGCAAGTATAAGTCAATCAACATCTTTTCTAGAGAATTAAGTATGCATTAGGTACATCCTATCTCATACATTGTATGTATTATCAGGCACATTATGCCTCAAACATACAGTATGTAACACATTTTGTGTCTGTCACATTTAATAATGTGTCAGACACATGTAATGTGTATGTGTCTGACTGACAGACACATTGTACTTACATGTACAAGTACAATGCGTTTGTCATGTACATCAGACATATTGTACTTAAAGTGTGTCTAACACATACTTTAATGTGTCTAACATGTATCAGACACATTGTACTTATTTTTAGGCACAATATGTCTGATACACCTAGAAGAAAATAGGAACCTGGTCATGATGAATAACGTTTGAGATGGTTAAGGTGAGGTTAGCAGTGAAGTCACAATGGGAAAGGTTGTAGGTTCTTGGGAGAATTCTTGTGAACTGATCGGTTTCTTCTCCCTTGAAAACAACTTGTAGTTTTGAGGGATAAAAGGTTGCTGGAGGGCCTAAAAGTTTCACTGCCTATTAAATAAAATTCCAAACAAAACTAAATTAGCTTTACGCATATCAAGTAATCCGAAGTAAAAAGAAAGTCGAACATCATCGATCAAACTAAACGAGCTGTTCTTCCTCTTTATAAGATCAAAATGCATCGAACAAATAGACATAATTTCACCACTTTATGCATCATTATCGAAAGAAACAAAGTCAAAACATATGAATTCGGTAGCAAAACAGAGGGAAAGAACCTGGTAAACAAGTGTATTGTAAGAAGGTCGAGTATCAGGAAGAAAACCAGAATTTGGTGAGTGTCTTCTTGAAGGATTTAAACTGCAATTGAAACTATTATAAAGATTCCTGTGAAGGGATGTTAATGAAAGATTTCTGCTTGCCATAGACACCATTGCAAACTCATCTCTCTTCAACCACTCTTTCTACTAATAATTTGATCTTTCGGTTACCCCATTCATCACCACTCACTCTTCCTACTAATCTAACAGAGGAGAAAGAGGTGTGTGGTATGTGGGAATTTTGAAGTTAGAAAATCATTTGGAAACCCTATAATTTTGGGTTTTGAGTTTCTAAATTTCGTTGGTGGGTGTTTTGTTATTGTGGAGCCTATCGAAAATCCATGGGAATGCAGAAGCAACCACTCGTTTAGGTGGAGCCTCCTATTTGATGGATAATGTGAGATACGTGGCCATGTATTGCTTTGTTGAGTTCATTTCTGATTTTTAATTCTAAAAGTTTAGAGTAAAACGTTAAAATTGTCCATGGTTTTATAACTTTTTTACAGTATAAAAATGAATCCTTTTTTATACATACGATACGATAATTATTGACAAATTTCATTTTTGGTTTGGTCTTTTATTTAAGAGTACTGAAAACTAATGAATAGCTAAAAATTAGTTGTTAACCGATTTTTACATAAAAAAAAATATTCCTTATTATATTCTCTTTTTAAACTTATATGGATTGTAAAAAAAAAAAAAAAAAAAAAAAAAAAACCTTTCAACTTGCTAGCTTTTTACCTATTTATTTGTATCTTTTTTTTCTCTAAAAATTTGACAAAATATATTATTATAAAATTATAAGAAAATGTATTATTTGTATATCAGTAATCCGAATTAGGTGTGATTTTATTAAACTGACATTTATAAAATTAAAAAAAAAAACTATAATTTAAACGATTATATATATATATATATATATATATATATATATATATATATATATATTAACGTCAGTTTAATATATAACATGAATAATTAATATATTTAGAACATACATATTCATATAAACAAAATAAAATAAAATAAAAGACAATTGATTACAATTGACATGAAAGTCTTGCATCATTTTGGTGTAAATGTGATGGATTAAAATCGACATGAAAGTGTTATACGATTTTGGTGTAAATAAATAGCATAACACCAAATTTGGTGTTATGCTATTCTTTTAAATGATTCCACATCATTTTTATATAAAAAATAGGATTTAATGTTGGATTGGAGATTTAATAAGCCTAATTTTAGACATCATCAATTTTCATTGTTGTGTTCACAGCCTAAGGTATCACATACTCAAATTTATGATATTGAAAACCTTCTGCTAGGATTTTGATAACATCATATGTGTATATACAAGTGTTACAACTCCTATTTCTAAAATATTGTGTTCAAGATGAGCAATTAGGTTTGAAACATGACCGGTTTGGGTTGAACACCTTAAAAATACGCCTATCACGGTATCACCAACATCCACGCTAGCCATTATGACACGATTCACACCCATGAAAGGGATAATTTCAAAATAAATATATTCAAGAACTACATTAGTTACAAGAAAAATAAAGGGAAATTAAGTAATTCAACCGTTATAAATGAGTTTTTCAAAGAAAATAACCATATTTCTTCAGTTTTTGAAAAATAACCATTTTCTTCTGAATGTCTTCATTCCGAAGTACTGTTGGAGTATTTTTATTATTTTTTATTTTTTTCAAAGAAATCGTTTTATATTTTTTTCGGATTCCGAATGCTACATTTCGAAGTGTTTAAGGTCACCATTTTGATGTCTAAATTTATGCACTAATATTGTATACAATTCACATTACTATGTTTGTTTAACTTTTTGTTAGATATAAGTAAAATATCGGATTTTTTCTCGAAATTCCGGAATTGTTCATCGGATTTCTATCTTGTTCTTGAAATTCCTGAGTTTTTTTCGAAATACGAAATTTTAATCCAGAACCTGGAATGTTGGTCCGAAATTCAGTCCGAAATGTATTTTTTTGTCAGAAAAAAATGTTTTTCTTAATCTGGAACGCCAGTTCCGGACAAATGGTTATTTTTACTAAAAATAATATTTTTTGTTATTTTCTTCAAATAGACATTAAAATTAAAATATGGTTAGATTACTTAATTTCCAAAAAAATAAACATAAACGTAAAGCTTAAAGTAATTAAGGAACTCATATTAGACTATTCTTATTCACAACCCAAACCAATCCAACTATTAATTATAAAACTAATTTCTCACTCTTCCACCTACACAACCAAACTAAATCTAAATTTTCATTCCCACTACCAACCCAACCCAAACTTATTTTTTATTAAATAAATACAATTAGTATAATTTATAAGTAATTTTATTTTATCAAAAATTATTATACGTAAATATGAAACATATAAAAATCTGATTACAAGTAATCTACGACAAAATATATAAAATCAAAAGATATTTAAACCCATTTTTATCCTATCTTAAATCATAATTACTTTTCATTCAAGGGTAGAATATAAAAGATATAATAAAATTTTCTATACGAATTGCATATTGAAATATTGTCAAAATAATTTTTTTTCATATACTGATAGATTATAAAAGTTAAAATAACTTAACTTGTAACTGCCACTTGATCCTTTATATATTAAAATATAAACCAAACTTTGTTTGATACAAAGTCGCTTGTTTTTGTTTATTTCCCTTTATTTTAATTTTTTCTTTCTTTACGACCGAATAGGTAAAGAATTCATCCATAGCTATAGTCTAAGAGCCCAAATAGTAGACCAAAACAAAAAAGTTGGGCTAACAGACCTCATAAAGATTGAAGCCTAGCCCGCTAGCCGTGGTTTCCAGAATTGCTGCATGATTGATTTTGAACTATATACATTTTTTTTAATATAGGAACTGTTCAAATAATTTTTTTTAATAGAAGAACCGTTATGATTTATGAGATAAAAAATTCATTTGGTTGAAGATATTATAATTTTTTTTAAGTTATATTTAAATTATATGATTGAATATGTTTACAATTCAAAAATATTGTGATTCTTAATCATATCTTATATATTCAAAATTATATAATTTAAAAGTATTATGATAAAAAAACCCTGTTACGAGATAAACATTTGTTTATGTTGAAAATGTTATAATCCTAAATAATATAATCCAAACTCATAGATCTAAAATGTCATTGACCCATAAGTTGTTATGAACTTTATTTAATTTGAAAATGATTTTATCCAAAAATGTTATACTTCAAAATGTTTTTATCTTTAAGTTTTATGATAAAAAATAACAGGATTAAAAAATATTTATGATTTTTAATGCCTTATATTTAAAAAAAAATATAAGATTTTTAACTTTGATACTTAAAATGAATTACCGATCTAAAAAATAACACAGATACATTTTACGGAAAATGACTTAATAAGATAATATATTTTTTATTTGTACACATTTAGTTATTGAATTTTTTTTTGTATATATTTGACCATTTAACTTGTTTTTTTTTTGCACGTTCAGTCATTATAACCAACTATTCTAAATAAAGCTGAGAAAAATTACTTAATAGGGATATTGACACTTTAGCACAATCAAGTTTTGTGTTTGTCTCAGATTAACCATTCATGTTTTTTTAGCGCAATAGGTCATTAAATTTACAATTTACCTATCAAATAGCTCATTCCGTTAAAAACTAGCCGAAAACCAAGTTAACACGCTTAGTTGGCATGGTGACTTGGCAACAAATAGCCCACGTCATTTAGACAAACCAAAAATTTTGCAAAATAAATCATATGTCGGGAAAAATAGGCTTATGACTTGGATTCGTTAACCATGAGACACCACCTAACTCTAGAAACTCCATTGATATACGTGAAGCTATATACACACAATCTACGTTTTCAATCTCTCAAAAACCTACATTTAACACAGACTTTGCAACCGATAATTATTTAAGGGGATGATAGTATCTGCAAACCCATATTGTAACACCCCGATTTTCAAATATCGATTAAATGACAAATAATCGTTCAAACATCTCCCAAGATCAATTCTAAACTTACTTATTGACTAAACTACAATGGAAGCAAAATAAAATAAAATAAAATCTTCAATTGAACAACTTCGGGTGTTACGTCTTTGCGGAACTCCTTTATCGTCTTGTTGTAAAATCATTTTCCTTGCCTTCTTACCGCCACTTGCTAAATAGTTTCCTGGGTTGCGCACATTTAAAGTTTCTAAATGGGTAAGTCTAGGGCCTAGTGAGTTCGTGTTACACATACATGTCCATCACTTAAAAAAAACAAAAGGTTTTATCACATAGTTTCAATAAACCATACAACAAAATATATCACCCGATGACATAATTTAGGGAAACGATTAAATATCCAGAGAAAAAAACCAAAGGTTCATTTCCCTTCTCCTTGAGACAACTCATCATCCGTTGTACTCAAGTATTTAAATATCCAAGGAAATGAGTATAATTCTCAATTCTCATCCTCGCCGATCACACACATCCGTCATGCTCACGACGATTATACACCCCACCAATTTCTGCTAAACATGTCACCCGAAAAAACGCACAATAGATAAACAATTCAAAATAACATTTGCACACAACCATACTTATCATAAAATATACTATGAATAAATAAATAAAAACCACATAATAAACGCATGATAAACATTTATGTGCGAGCAACCACAGAACACGAAAAAACTCACCTCGTTGTCGTTAGGCCTTAACCGTATTTTATTATGCTACATGCACCCTACATTCCACCAATAAGTTTTTCTAATGCCATAATTTTAAAAGTAAGCCTTCATTTTGGTTCAACCATCCTCATATCTCATTCAACGATTAATAATTATCAGTTTGCATTAATAACGATATTCGAAATAACCCTTTGGAAAATATCCCGCAAATATTATATTGTTTCATCGTAAAAATAATACTCTAAGTGATTAATAAAACTCAAGGTAAAAATGTTTTGAAGCATACTTACAAATTTCCAAGAAAATATGTTTAGCCGTCAAATACAAAAATGCAAAATTTAAAACTAAAATTTAATGCTGTAGCTTTTAGAAGGAAACAAAGATTATAAAATTTTCAGGGGTCAAACCTGAAATTTTGATTTTCTTGACTGTATCCCAAAATAAATAAAACTAAAATTTTAGGGGTTAAAATTGAATTTTTGGATACTTGGGAAAATAACACGTATATACTTGGAAAAGAATATGAACAGTATATACTTGGAAAAGAATATGAACAGGGTGAGCCCAGTCCTATTTTTAGTTGACCAATAAAAACATAACTGACCATTTGACATTCATCAAAACGAATACCCGTAACCCTTTTCTTCTTCGCCCGAAAAAAAAAT